CACACACACACACACACACACACACACACACACACACACACACACACTCACATACATTCATTCACATAGATAATCATAGACACAGAACTTTGAAAGCATTCATAAAATGAACGGTACATTTTCGATGATTTGAATTTACAATGAAATTGAATATTGATTTGGCGTCGTATTTTAAGTTTCCTCTTCCTTTTTTCTCTTTTTAAACGATATAGCTGAAGTTCATATAAAATTAAGAAAAAAACCCCAAAATTTTTAATGTTGTACAAAGATGACAAAGTCAAAAAATGGCCAAATAATGTGTAATTTAAAAAGAAACAATGCCCTCAGCCAACGATAAATAAGTCAATTATTGTGGTTCAACCATGAAAAGTCACAATATTATCGTTCGTTTAAAGTCAGAGCTTTGTAAATAATGCATATTTGATTGCAATATCATCATATATCACATTGTCCGAACTTGAGTGAGTGACTCTAAATGGGTCCAACAAGTGTACAACGTCGAGAATCGAGCGTCAATAAATGTCCGGAATGACAACATTACAATAAATTGGCAGAAGTTTTCGCAGTGTGTTGGTTTTGTTTGTCATATGTGCAGAGAGCGCGAACCAAAACGAGAGAAAAAAGTTCGATTGCATAAAGCACGGCCAAATGAAGTCAGCCATTATGGCCATTTATTGATTACTCAACGCTTTGCTGGTAAGCATTGTAAATATGTGATGACTGATGACATTTGGCTTTTTTTCGTTTCGAATGTATTTGGCTAAAAAGAAATGTATGTACATACATAAGCGATTTGGTGTAGCCAACCGAATGCACATTAGCAACGAAGTGAATATACGTGCGTGAACGACATACATTTGCAATCCGTTCAAAGCAATCGGACAATCAGTCAGTTGGGCAGTTGTTGTATACGGGTTGTTTTGTACATATATGTATGTACACACAAAAAAAGAAACGTTTTCTCATAAATATATAGGTCTCTCGGTGTGTGATCAGTTTTGAGTAGTGCAACGATGCACAGGCGAGGGACAATGCTCGGACGGTATTTGTGTTTATTTTTTAAAGACCGAAGCCAAGGAGAGCAAAAAAGCATTGTCTAAATCAATTCGTCTGTCTGTTTCGCTATCACATTTTTCATATTTTTCTGTGTGTTAGCGTACAAGGTGTGTGTGTATGCTTTTTTTGTTGTTGAAATTTGACGAAAAATAATAGTGTGGCTTTGTGCACGCGAGCGCGCATTGTACTGTGTCACTAATCTATAACGAAGAAACAAAACCACTCCAGATGACAACAAAAGCCAATTTTGTTGTGTCGTATTTTCATGTTAAAAGTATGTGTTATGCTTGATGTGTGTGTGTGTGTGTGTGTGTGTGTGTGCTTGTCGTTTTTTTTACTTCTATTCTTGTTATTCATTTTTTCCATTAGTTTTAGCTGCTGTCACTCCAGCCATTTAGTTTCGCTTGTTTCGAATCAGTTCTTAAATGCCTAATCGTCATTATCATTATTGCATTATTTACAAGCCATAATGCTTTTACCAGTAGCAAATCAAATAGAATTATACATTGACCGTTTGTTTTTATTAGAGAGCATTTTCAGAAATGTTGTTCATCGTTGAACATTGCTGTTTACTCTTTCTACGAAGACTAGCAACATTGTTGATTTTTTTTATTCGAAGTATCATAATTTTTGAGTATTTATTTTGAAATTCGAATTGTTGAAAACTAATAGATAATCGTTGCAATCGATTTTACACATTAATTATTACCTACTAAATGGATTCGCTCTAATTTGCATTCAACATGGGAATGCCATGGTTCGCTCCATCGCTCGCTCAACAAATGAATTGAGCAACCGATTCAACTAATAAGTTCATTTATGTTTGATGCATAACAAATTGAAAATATGCTAATAGAATTAAGAATTAAGACTATAGAATTAACCCATAAATTTTTACATATTTTCGTTGTGAAAATAAAAGGGATTAAAATAAGTATATTTTAGGTTTGACCATTCGGAAAATTTGAAGCTAAGCCAAGAAAATTCATACCGGAAAATCAATATGCTCAAATTTTAATCCGATTTTGGCGATATTGCCGTTTCAGGTGAGCATGAAATTGGCATTAAACATGAGATTGCAGGGAACCGCTCCTAGGCATGTATGTGTTAGTGTGACTAGTGTTAAAAACTCACACAAATTCGAACTCAGGAGCGGCTCTTGACAAGAACTCGCACGCTTCTGTTGCGATTGCTAAGTGGCCACATTTCACAAATGTAATTTTAGATTCACAAGTGAGATTTCATGCTCTGCTTTTCCGGCCAAAAATTACAGAAAGAAGTTTTATGTTTTCAAAGTTTCAGTACCAATGCTCGTACATACACGCAAAATTTGGAAAATAAAATTTCTAGAAATGAAATCTACCAA